ATTTATTGATTTTTTTTGTGTGTGTCTGAACTGCTGATTTGTTTGATGGCGTAAAAGCATTCTGAGATGATGCTTATATCTCCTCCTTCCTGAAAAAGCTGTTTGAAGCATTTCTGTGCTGCCTCATCAGGTATTTTGGGATTTGTGGTTGAATCTGCTGCCTGAGGTGGGCCAGAATGGTCAATGAGAAATTCAGAATGGATCTATTTAACTCTGCTTTTGACAAAGGAAGGGGAAATTGGCATGCAGGTTAAATGATATGCCTTCTTGTTTTTATGTTTTAACAAAGTGAGATAAATGGAAAGAGAAAGCTTAAGTTTTATAGTTGCTGCATTTAAATAATGGCTATTGTATTCCAAGAGATACTTTTCAAGACCTTGCAGCACTGAAAAGAGAAATTCAGTGTTTGAGCAATAAAAACTAGTTTTTAAATGCACTCCTTTTGAGTGCATTTAAGAACAATAAATAAATATGAGTTAATGTGTTTTTGGTAAACTTCTTGAAAGTGGATAACTGCCACTGAAATGCACCTTTTTAGAAAAAAATGTATGCATATCTCCTCTTTTCACATACTGAAACAAGGACAAATTCCTTTCCATTTGTGTGATTTGAAATGTGACGTATTTCTTATAAACCTTTGAAAGCAGAATTGCACACGGGGAGGAATGATATATATATTAAAAAAAAAAATCAGAAGAGTAAAATAAGTTAATGTGACAGCCTTTGTAGTCCAACAATTGTAAAATTTATATGACATTGTTAGAATTTGAACACAGGGTTTACATTTACTTCCAACACTCAAATATGTGCAGGTGCTACAGCATTTTACTCGAGCTGTATCTCATTGTAACTGATTTGTAAAAACTCAAATATTGTTGCATGATACCAATTTTGCCACAGATCCTTATGAATGTTATGTTCTGTAGTTGTCGCAAATTAATTATCACAAATACATAATCTGATGATGCTATTTTTAATTACTCATGTTGTAAATTTGTCCTTACTGTATCATTTATAAACACCAAATACCATGACTTTTTTTTTTTGCTTCACTTCCGTCCTGTTGGTGGCGGTAGCGTGCACTTCAGTTGATTCGCCACCTATTCAAATAGGAAGAAGAAGGACGCTCCATTCGTAAGGTGAGAATCGGACAGAAAACGGTGTAAAGAAGAGGGCAAAACCAGACGAAAAGCTTTAAACAGTGTGTTGTGTTGCTCTAGAGCTTCTCATACTCTAACATCATGTTTTATTCGAGCCACAAATTCGAGTCTTTACCAGCCGTTTGTTCATTTTTCACCATGTTTGTCCACGCAGACTGTCTTCATAGAGTGATATGGACCCATTGCAGAAGGTCATTCCTGCTTGCTTTACGTAGAAAATACAGCAGCTCAACTACTTTAATCAAACGTCCACGTTTCCTATTGTGAAACTACTCGTCCTTTTTGTAATTGTACCGTTAAGATTAGCAAACCACTCAGCAGCTGTGAAGATATTGTTGTCCCAGACACCGAACAGCGTTTATTCGTCAAAGTGTAATTTCATTGTTTTTAAGGACGCTGGACCGACTTAGAAAAGATGTTTCAAAAATTGAATATTCTAAAAATAATCAACGAAGGTATAAATCCCACAATAGTGCTTTAAAAGACAGTTATGTCTTCGTGATATTCCAAGAAAAGCATTTCCAATGTGTTTGTGCAAATAAAATTCATCTTGGAAAAACTTGACACAAAATAAGACAACAAACTTGACAGGATTGTGCTAAATTAAACCAACGTCATTTAAACATATTTAATAATCTGATAAGATAAGAAAATATATTTATTAAATTAGTCGTGTTTACATAAATAGGATGGAAACTCCGGAAGGTGGGACGTCTAAGAAATTTGAGAGTAGTGTAGATTATTCCTGCTTTGGAAAGTTACATTAAATAACAAGTCCTATTTCACAATCAGACCAAGTCTGATTCCGTGTCATGGAGGTCATCATTGGAAATGATTTTCTGTGATATAAAAACTGCTTTTATATAAATTGATATTTTAAGGAAAAATTATGCAGCAGAGATTAATTTAGACCAGACTTAAAAAGTCTTATTCTGAAGTAAAGCTCATGAAGTGAACTAGATTCCCTAAAATTAGTGAAATATCTACTCGTTCAAGCTTCCAGTTCAATGTCAACATAACATTGCTTTCAACAAGCAGGACAGCTTTGTCCCTTCCTTAATTACTTTACAGCTTATTTCGGTTTACAGTGTTAGTAATGCACTTTTAAATACAATCCTTTTTTGACATGCATATAGTTTGTTGTCTTTTTAATTGAGTAGACACTTCTGAGCAGTTAGACATTTTAACCATTTGCTTATTAACCCTGTTAGGTGGATAATCCTAGATTATCGGTCTCTTAAACCGTACTGCAGTTGTAGAAAGGCCATTAACTAAAGCACCAGTAGTGAATGCACGGTGTTGCTACCTTCTACTAGCAGTTATTGCTAAAGCTGCAGCTATGGTTCATTTTTCTTTTGTTTTTTTTCTACTATTTTGCCTTCCTTTCCTCCCTTCCTTTGGTATTATCACATTTCTAAGGTTATTAAATGTGCCTTACCGTGTGTGTTGGTTTTCATAGTCATGTTTTCCTTTGGTTGTGCCAAATGGACCTATGTTTTGTTTGTTTTTTTTCTTTCTTTCTTCAGGATGGGGAATCTTACCTCCTCCAGTACTGGGGGTCTCTCCAGTACAGCCTGTATACAACTTGTTCAGGTGAGTAGTTGTTTACAAATCTATCTCGTGCTTTCGCCGTGCTACTGTTAAGTGGATGCCCTTTGAAACTCACTAATAACTCTTTGTCTTTTAGATTTATGATTTAAGTCAAGAAGTAGTGTTTGAAATATCTCTGAAGACAGATCTATGTATAGTTGCTTCTCAGCTGGGTTTCTGCTCTCTTTAATCTTTTGTCTGCACACACATCGTCTGTCAGTGTGATCTTACAGATTACCTCAAGTTGTTTTTCAGTTCGGTTTGTAATTAGAACTATTAATGAAGTGAACTAGATTTTTTGGGGGGATTGTTCCTGGCTACATAGACATGACTTACTTTTGATACCTGTATTAAAAAGCTAATTGTGATGGAAAAAGTATCTAATGTTCAATCATGGACAATGAATCCTGGAAATACCCAGTTAAAGCCTTATAATGGGCTAATTTCTATTTCCCCTCAATCTTTCAGGAGATGGTGTCACAGAACTGTGTTGTCATATTCTCCAAGACCACCTGCCCCTATTGCAAAATGGCCAAAAATGTGTTCAATGAAATTGGTGCCAATTACAAGGTGATTGAACTGGACCAGCACAACGATGGGAAGAGACTTCAGGAGGCCTTGGCACAGTTGACTGGTGTCAGAACAGTAAGAGTGTTAGATCTTAACGTGAGACTTTTAATGAACAGTTTATTTGAACTTTGGGATAAAAAAAAATAAAATAAAATAAAAAATAAATAAATAAAAAATAAATATATCAGCCACAAATAAGCCCAAAATTATCTATAGCCTGCTAGATTTTAGTTTCTTTTGATTTTACTAACAAGTTTCGTCTGACTGGAAGTAGTATTAATGTTTTGAAATGTTCCGAAACATGTGAAAACAGGGGTTAGAATGAATAAAGCAGGATAATTAAGCTTATGGAGTGTTCTTTGTCTTAACACAATTGTAAATTTGAGTAAAAGCTGGGTGTTAATCAAACAATTTAAATGAACTCTACTGATTCTTTGAAGCAGAGTGGTCAGATATCCTGCCAGAAACGTGTCAGAAGATGTTTGTTGTTGGGGGAAAGATGGTGTTTTTTTTTTTTTAACTTTTCTTTTTTTTTCTTTTGCAAATGCTATTTAAGCACTAGTCTCTTAAAGCTTTCCCTATAGGTGACACACATTAAATTTTCCTATGTTGTCATATTGTTTATTTGTTCAGGTTCCAAGAGTTTTTGTGAACGGGAGCTGCATTGGGGGCGGCTCTGACACCAAGCAGCTCCATCAGCAGGGAAAGTTACTGCCCCTCATCGAGCGGTGCTCCCCCTGCTGCGTTACCGAGGGATCTGGCAGTGGACACTTTGAACCCTCTAAATGACTAACCGTCGTTGTAGCCTTTTTAAATCCTCTATTATTTAATATTTTGCTTAATTGTATACTAGAAGTTACAAATTTTTTGAACATGTCCATGCTCTTGGTTTATCAAAGTCAAACAGATTGTTGATTTCTAATTTGCTTGTATTTTCTCAGACATGGGAAGTATCAGTATGCATTTATTAAAATCTCCCGTCTTAAAACATTAAGTAAACTCTGAAAGCACTCCCGTTCCTTTGTTGAATTACAAAATAAAAGGGGAAAAATAGCTTTAAACTTTAATATGTACTGGAATTGGGATACCTGGAAATATTAAAACACCTGATTATAACTTCAGACACACACTTTGCTATGCTGCTAGTCTGCAAATCTTGGAGAACAACATTATGTGTATTTAAGTAGTTTATTGTTTTGTGACATTTTAGCAATAGCTGTGAATGTCTGAATGTTTACCAGAGAAAAGCATTGATAAAGAATCTCCGATGCATGTCAAAGTGTTTATGGTTTCACATGAAACTAAATAGGAGAAAATATTTTTATTCCTGTACATCAGATGTATATTACTTAATAAACTTGAAAGAAAAACCATTCTCAAGTCCCAGAGCATTTGTGTGCATTTATCTCCTCTTTTGGTGGTGCTATTTTTTTTTCTGTTGACATTTTAATATTGGAGCTTATCAGTGAATTGCAAGCAATAATATAGAAATTATAAGGCACATTTTTATTTAATTAAATGTTTTTATTGATGTGCTACTGTATTATAATGCATCTCTGCATTTAACGTTCACAAAGATTCATAGGCATACAAGACGAGATATTAGACCACAACGTATATATATATTTATTTTTTGCAAAGTTGAGGTAGCACCCCACCGGTGCGTCCTCTAAAACAAATCGCGCGTACCCAGTTAGAACACATTGCACCGCACAGAAGTGAGGTCACTGTGCTACAATTAATTAGCCTAGCTAGCGTGTGCACTGCTAAGCTATAATAATTTGATAAATATATTTGTTCTGAGGGTTTAACTGTGCGGTCGAAAAATGTCTGGCAGCGCAGGAGAATGGTGTCTGATGGAGAGTGACCCCGGAGTGTTCACGGAGCTCATTAAAGGTTTCGGTGAGTGTTTTCTGTCCAAACGTTGACAGCTCATTCAATGTAATGTGGCTATGCGCAAACGCTAGCTAGTTGATGCAAAGCTAACTTCTAAATTAGCTGGTGCAAAGTAATTTTCTTCATTGTGTATACATATAACCAGCTGAGAATCTTGATCTGGCATCTGAATTTTGCTCCTTTGAAACATTTGCATGGGGTAACTGGGTAGCGGTCGATAACTTCATCAGGAAAGCTAAATAGCTAGCATTACTCAGCGTTCAAAAACGACGGCGCGTAAAAACAAGCCGTCATGATAGCGGACTTGTGTTTTCAATGGGTTTGTTGTCTGACCGCGTGTAAAGATATTACATTTTTTTCATCTATTTAAATGTTAGTTTAATGCTGCTTTTTTTTATTTGTCAGGCTGTAAAGGGGCTCAGGTTGAAGAGATCTGGAGTATGGAACCAGAGAACTTTGAGAACCTGAAGTATGTTTATATTCGCTACTTGACTTACCGCACGCCTTCTCTTAAAGCGTAATTTTTAATAAATCTGTTCTGCCTCAGGCCAGTCCACGGGTTGATTTTTCTCTTCAAGTGGCAGCCAGGGGAAGAACCAGCAGGATCAATTGTCCAGGATTCAAGGCTTGACCACATTTTCTTTGCTAAACAGGTAAATCGTTTGTGTTTACAATGAAACCTACTTGGCAAAGGATAAACAAACCCAGGACTGAAAGAAGGTTAAGTAATAATTGTTTCCCTTTGTTTTCTTTAATGCTAAATAGTTCATCCAAGATAATGTTTTTGATATGCGTTTACTGCATAAAAGTAAAATTTAAAACTTTATTGTAAAAAAAACAAACATATCTGTAGCACGCAAGTTTTCTCATTGTGGTGTCAGAAAACTGTAGATTTGTATCTTCAACAATTAAAGATAAAGTGGTTTACACAATTCTTCATAGCATTTGAATGGTTTCAAATTGAAATGTCACAGCAATAACATCGGTACTTGCTATTCACTGGGGAAAAAGGTTAAATGTTTTCACGGTTTCTTTGAGAGAAAATGTGAAAAATGTGGATTCAGTCCCTTGGAGTCATTTCAAAGAAGACTCGGCTCTCATGTACACACTGAAATATTAAACTGATGTTTTGATTTTTTTTCCCTCAATGGGTCTTGTTTTTTAAAAATATATATATATATTTTTTTCCTGTTCTTCCAAAACATGAGATCTATGTGGATGCACACCCTAAATGGCAAAACACCTTTAGGGATACCCATGATATCTTCCTTGTGTTGATAATACAAATATAAAAACGTTGATTTAATTCAAGCTACTCGAAGGAAATATATTTGCATGAACAGTTTATATATACATAAAAAAATGCCAATGCCATAAAACTGTGACCACTAAGAATATCTCCAATACCAGTTTTCTGTTTTAGTATTTTTACAGCCCTTGTCCATTTCCAACAGCATAGTGTGAAGATGCTGCAGATGCTTATTACTGTTAATCAGTGGCTGTTCTGTGTGCTTTTAAATGTGTGTATTTTCTGCTCTGTGTGCCATTTTCAGGTCATAAACAATGCATGCGCCACCCAGGCGATCATCAGCGTTCTGCTCAACTGCTCCCATCCGGACATGTTGCTTGGCGACACACTGACAGAGTTCAGAGAGTTTTCTCAGAGTTTTGATGGAGCTGTACGTAAATGGTATCTTTGTATACTTGCTGGCATTTTTCAGTTACGATCAGAGAAGAGATAAACAACGTGACTTGAATATTTCTCTCCGCCTCTGCATGTTGTGATGCCAGCGTTTCACGGTGGGTTTTATGATCTTCTGCATTTGCTCCTCAGATGAAGGGTCTGGCTCTTAGCAACTCTGAAGTGATCCGACAAGTTCACAACAGCTTTGCAAGGTGAGCGCTTTCCCATGTCATCCCCAAGCTCTTTTCTGTTTAGCTTCTTGTGAATGTGTAAATTAGCTGCTGAATTAATATGTGTATTCTGAAATGCAAGTCAGTTTCAAAATATCCAGCATTCTTGACTGATTTTTCAATCTAATAACATAAAGAATACGTTTTCCCTACAGTTTATACTAATATTACAATGAAAAAGTCTTTTGCTTTATTTGTGTCCAACATTAACATCAGAATTTGTCACATTATGATTGTTTTTGACTGGGTTTTTATGTGTTTTCAAGACAGCAGATGTTTGAATTTGATGCAAAGTCTTCAGCAAAGGATGAAGACGCCTTTCACTTTGTGAGCTATGTCCCTGTTAACGGCAGACTGTATGAGCTGGACGGGCTTCGGGAAGGACCAATCGACTTGGGTAAACAGAATGATTCACTTTATGCATGTTTTAGTTTGTTAAAGTTTCTGTATAAATTGTAAAAACAACAACAACAACAAAAATCTTAACATGAGATATAGGAATTATATTTTGGTAGTGATGTACTATACATGCTTGTGGAAACAACAGATTTTCATAGTTGTGTATTTTATGCCACAGGTACCTGCAACCAGGATGACTGGATCAGTGCAGTTCGCCCAGTAATTGAGAAAAGAATACAGAAGTAAACAATATAATTAAATAACAAGTTTTACAAAAACCTTAGGTCTATTAAGTGCTGAGAGAAATTCTCGTTTTCTTCTTCAGGTACAGTGAAGGAGAGATCCGATTCAACCTGATGGCCATCGTGTCCGACAGGAAGATGGTGTATGAGAAGAAAATTGCAGAGCTCCAGGCTCAGCTCACAGAGGTAAGAAGCAATGAGAAATAATATGACTTTTCTTATTTGAAGGCTTTGCTGCATGTTTGAATTTAAAATAAATAATGCTATTTATATTTAAATCATTTATTAATTTTATTACTTTAAAATATGCTTTTGAGACAACAGTTTCAATTTTTTTCCCCCAGTAAAAAGCCCAAAATTAACCAACTAAAGCCTCAACAAGAAGTTTAGTAATTGTAAAAATTCCATGTTTTTTGTCTTACCTTCACTAGGAAAACAGAAAAAAAAGTTATTACAAAGGGAATTTAGGATTAATAGTCCCTAAAGTCAATTCACAAATATGTCAGTCTGGTGTCCTTTTCAGAAATTGCCTTGCAAAAATGACAATGAACCATGGATTCGAGATTTTTTGCTGTTGTTGGCTCATCTCTCCACTGCTGCATTTGTTGCAAGTGCTGATCATTTTGCTCCTTCACTGTTTTCTACCTCTGCATCCTGACTTTGTTCAGGTATGAAATGATGTTTTTAACCACAAGACGTTTATTAACAGCTTTGTGTCAATTTATACCAGTCAGAGAGACGTTTCACATTTTGTTTCCACCTCTCAGTTGCCATCTTTACCCTCACTAACTTCTCAAAACACCACTAAGAAGTGGGTTGAGTCTTCAGAGGGATGAAAGTGTGCAGTGGACGGGACATGTTGCAAATTGACGGAATGTTTGTTGTGCATGTTTTGTTTATTCTTTCATTTTTTTGGAACCCAAATTACATTTTAACTAAAAAATGTGACTAAGTGCAAAGCCTTAAAGCTCCACCAGATTCCACACGTGGTTGTGGGTTAGTTTGTGTTCTCACACGGTGGAAACACTCCTCCCACATCAGCTTGCATCACGCCAAGGTCCCCACTCCGTCCCTGCATCCTTCATTTTGCTTTAGTGAAACGCCACGCCACTTTAAAATGTCTATCCAAGAGTTTTTAGCCATTTGACAACCTCTGTAGTGATTTTGTGAAAAACTATACAAATATACGTATTTCTGATAAACATACCTCCAATTTAATATGGACGAACAAAACCCGTTTAGTGGAAGTGGCACTAGTTTAAGTGAAATATCATCATTGCTGTATGAGTAAACTTCTGCATAAAACAAGCTTTAGCCTTTAGTGTGAAGTCACCAAACCGGGTTGTTGTGTGGATGCATGTAATTGGTGGCACAACTCAAAGCAGAAATTGTAATTACTTCATACATGTTAAATAATGCAGCAGCTTTCTCTGCTTTCTGTCAGGTTGGTCTGCCATTTAGGATTTTAAATGACAGCTTTCTTTCTCATTGCTGCAGTCCATACAGTCATTTGTATAAATGTATCTTTGGTCCAAAGATACATTTAAAAAAGAAGCTGCAGGCTCCTTGACAGAGGTGTTGGTTTGGAATCCAGCAGTAAATTAAGTCCATACAATATTACAGACGCACATAATCAGTAGTTGTTCAGGTTAACCATGAGCTGCTTGAAACTTTCAGCCTTTCCAAAATCCATTTTTATTCAATTAAGTCTGCAAAGAAGCTTATTCCAAAATCTCGGTTAAATATTTATATTGCTGTGGATTTTTTTTCACCACTAGAGGTCAGCAAAAGTTTTCTTTCCCAAACTTCATGTAACCTTTTCCAGAATGACATCTTTTAAAGCACTACCCATTTGTCTACATCTATAGGCACAGATCATAAAGATCAGAAAGACCAAAGAACTGTTTAGACTCTTCTTTTTTCTAAGAAAATAAGTAATTTTTGTTTTCATTACTATGTTTGCAGGAGGAGCCCATGGACACAGACCAGAACAACACATTTCTTAGCTCCATCCAGTCAGAGATTGCCAAGTATCAGCTCCTTATTGAAGAGGAGAACCAGAAGCTTAAAAGATATAAGGTTAACAATACAAAATGGTTCATAAATTTAAAGCTCTGCTTTATTTGTTGTCATCTGGTTCAGTTATCCGTCGCAGAACAAATTTAGCTTTTCCCAGCTCTTTTGAATTCTGCTTTCTTGCAGATTGAAAATATTCGACGAAAGCACAACTACCTTCCCTTCATCATGGAGCTACTGAAGACATTGGCAGAGTACCAACAGCTAATACCTTTGGTGGAAAAGGTAACGGTTCTCTCCTTTTTGCAGTTTTCCACGACTTTATTGACTCTGGGTTCACAGAGTTTGAGAACATAAGTGCCATGACATTTCTAAACGTCCGCCATTAAGCATGCCAATTAACTTAATGAGCCATCTGGGTGCGACCTGCAGGTACTCTTTGTGGGCTGAGTATGAGAGATAATTCTTTCCCAGGAAGATAAAAGGCTTGTTAAAAGGAAAATAATTACCACTTTTGATGAGGCACTCCTTTCTAGAAAAGTACCAAGTGAAATGACTAAACCAAAGCTTTAGTTTTTATTTTTTACACACTGGACGGCATCACCTGTGAACATTATATTTTCAAAAGCAAAGCAGGTTGATTTGTAAGAAAAAGCTAAAACTGTTTAATCGTCTTGTTTTAACACTGCACCAATTGAAACATTGTGGCCAATGTGGGTTTTTCTGAACAGGCGAAAGAAAAACAGAGCGCTAAAAAGGCTCAGGAGGCCAAGTGAAGAACACCAACACTGACTTCATCAGAGAAGGTTCCAATCAGACACAAACACCCAATCATCCTGAACACCAGAGTCGCTCTTTCGTCAGTGAGCCATGTACAGATTCATCAGTTATCTTCATGAGAGCGTGTGGACGGCCTGCGGCGCTCACGCTGTGGCTTCCTGTGAATTATTCAGAAAGAAAGAACTGCACTGCAGCTGCAGCACAGAGACTGTCTGACGAAACGCTGTCTTCGTGTGTTTTTATTAGCGCTAATATGCATGTCTGAAGGAAAAAATGTGGTCATATTTTGTTTCGTCTTATTTTCATAATAAAATGTCTAGATGTTTGTGAATTTTTTTGGTTTTCAGAGATTTAATTTCCATCTTACTCTTTTTCACCCTCCTTCTGGTTTATATTTTAAACTTGCAATGACATATCAAGGCCACTGTAGACAGAAAATAGTAAATTACTTCCAAAAGCTCTCCGACATATTCTAGGAAAAAAAACATGGCAATTTCAGAGTTTGAAAAGTGGATTTAGTTTTTACTTTTCAAACTAAGAAATGTCCAAGTGTTGGACTGTCTACAACATTCTTTATACACCGTGGTATAATCTCGTCTACAGAGATTCAGCGCTGTTAGTCAGAAATTAGTTTTTACTGCCACCTACAGTCAAAGCACTGTAATAGCTGGAAGTGTTGCATTTTGAATGTTGCTGGAGCGATCACCAAGTCTGCATAATTCATATAAGGTATCACTCAAACATCGTTTGTGGTTTGCATGCCACGATTAGTTCATCTAATATTTTTTAGTGTCATTTGATTTTTGAGACATTAAAACTAACAAATGATTAAAACAAATCTCAATGTTAAGTAAAACAAACAAAACAAATGGATAGTAAATGTTACTGTCACAACCTCCTGGAAAAGACGGACATTAACACCTTCAACATGAAGCTCAGGTCACTACAGGTCATTATTAAAGATGGTGGCTGTTCAGAGTGGTGAATCATTTATGAATCGTTGAGCTCAAAGAAAAAGTGGGGGTAGAAATAAGTGTACAAGTAACAGGGCAGCCATAGTCTACAGAGGATTGCCCTTACCTGGATTAAGGAGGAAAAGGAATGAAATTTTTCACTACATTTGGAAATCAAGGTTTCAGAGTCCGTAGGAGGGAGGAGAGACACCAAAGTATAATTACTGGAGGACCAGAGTTAACTTTCCACAGTCAGTAAGGAGTTCTGGAGAAATGTCAGCTGTGTTTTATCAAGACTAAAGTAATCATAGCCATGTGCTTGGACATTTGTGAGCGCTTCATGCTTCCATCTGCTGAAAAGTGTTATGGAGATGAAGATTTTATTTTCCAACAGAACCTAACACCTACCCACACTGCCAAAAGTGCCAATACCTGCTTTAATTTCCATGATGCATCATGACCAGATTACCCAGCAAACTCCATGGCACGCCACATTTATGCAGCAACTCGTGCAAAAGAAACCCAGACCGTGCATTGAATTTAGCATAGCAATATTTCTCAATATATTGCAAACATTACATTTTTATGCAATTTCAAATCCTTTTGGGTTTTTATTAGCTGCAAGCTA